AGAAATATTTATTTAAAGTTTGCTGTAACGCATATACGTTCAATTTTTTTTAAAATATAATCAATTACTTCTCGACAGCACATGGCCAAACTTTGATAAATTTTCTTCATTTTAATTTGCAAAAATTTATAGGTAGTCGCTGAGAAATCTTCGTTCAAAGTTTAATTTCTCTTGTAAAAGAAAAAACTGTACTTTTTTTTTTTTTACTTAAAGTAATTATTTCTCAATAACTACTCAATCAAATACGACGATTTTTTTTTTATTATAATTCACATAGCTATAGAATTAAAATAAAAAAATTTTCATCGAATTTGACCTAGTAGGTATCGAGATATTTTCATTTAAACACAAAAAATCATAATCGTAGCTATTTTTGATTTTCAAGATTTTCAACGCTTTTTTAAAACTTTAATTGAAGTTTTCTTGATATCTACCAGGTCAAATTCAATGAAATTTTTTATTTAATTTTACATGCTTGTAGAATTAAAATATAAAAAAGTTTATTAATATTAATCAGATAGTTGTCGAGAAACTATCGCTAAAAGATAAAAAATATCAAGATGTCAGGCAATAAGATACAGGCAAATGTGTGTATAATTAATTTATTTGGTCATTGGTCATTTGAAGTGCTTAAATACTCATGTCGATCATGTCTATGAACATCACTAACGTTACACTTATTACAATGTCTTCAAACAAAAGTTCAAACGATGTGAGCCAACTAGATGTAGAAGCTAAAAATCAAGAAAACAGCGAAACCTTAATAGCAATTCCAGTATCACGCTTCCTTCCATTGTTTAGCGAAATCACACAAATTTTTGATAATATTGCTGAATTATATCAAAATGCACAAAATAATAAATTTCTATGCGGTACAATATTTGATAAAACATCGGCGGTTGATGTGACAATTCATTTATTAAAATTTCAGAGGGATAGTCATAAAAGGTTTTTTAATCAAAAGAATTATGTAGTTATGCAAAATTTTTTGCTTAATATTCAAAAGCTAAAAAAGTTTGTAAATGATGTTATGAAATCGTTGAATATGCAGGCGAATTTGATTGATAAAACTTTTCGTAGCCTAATTGATGAATTTGACAATTATGTGAGCGAGCTAGGTTTACTTAATATACCAAATCAAATTCCGAAAAATGAAGACCCATTTAAAGTATGTATTATTTATAGACATTTCTAATTCTTACTAACTAATATGACTTTGGTAGTTTGAAATTATACAGTTAGTATATAATGTAAATTTTTTCTAGCAAAATCCATACATTTCTGACTAACTCTGTTATATTAAATTCGAACTCTATTATATTAAATTGACAGAAAAAAAAATGTTCAAAAATTTGATAATGATGGTAACAAAACGAATTTAGACGAAGATAATACAATTACTGCGCAAATTACGATCCCGTTCCCAAAATTCGTATCAGTCATGCACGAAATAATGAATGTTATTGAAGATATAATAACTATACACCAATCAGCAGAGCATAATAAACTCATTAGTAGTGCATTGGTTGATAAAACTGTGTCAATCGAAACGACATTTCGTATATTAAAAATACACAGGAGTGAATATAAAATCTTTTTTAATCAAGAAAATTTTATAATCATGCAGAATCTTCTAGCTAATTTACAGAAAATACAAAAATATATAAGTGAAGTTACCCAATTAAAAGGATTGGAGAAATATATTCACGCAAAATCTATACAAACGACGTTTTATGAATTAACAACAGAATTTGATAACTATGTTAATAAATTGAAATTTGCAATCACTGTTGATCCGAAGGTTCGTGCAGAAAGAGAAAAGGCGATGATACGTGATGATATCGAAGAACTTTATCAGGTACCTTATTCTTCATTATTATTTTTATAATGAACAATTAATATGAAAATATTTTAATAATTATGATTATTAGTATTTTTCAAAAATTGGAGGCGGTATCACTGATACGGATAATAATATAAGTAAAACAATCAAAGAAATAAGTCTTATTAAGAGTCTCATTTTGGACTTAAAAACCAATCAAGATCAAATCCAACAAACGATTGGGATTAATAATAAGACGCTTAGACTTGCTGATTTTAAAGAAACCGACGAACTGCGTGGAAAAATACCTTCGCTTAATCGATGATGAAGCTGTCGCTTTTAAACTCGTAGCTGATGAATTAGATACTGCAGATGTTAAGAATGATATACGTAGTCATGTCGCTATTCTTATGAAACTTAGGGATTGCCATCAAATAATTCGTTTCTATGGTCTTATTTCTGATGGCGACCTATTGACATTAGAACAAAATTAAATATTGCGGTTGACATTGCTCGAGGATTAAACTTCTTACGGACCGTAGAGGTATTCTATGTTTATTATTTATGCGATTTGTCCAATATTATTGAACTTTACATTTAATAAAATGATTATATAGATAGTTCACCGAGATATTCGACCAGAAAATATTTTGATAACAGCGAACCAAACCGCCAAAATTACTACCTTCTCGCTCAGCAGGCACTTCAGGGATGAGACAAAAAGATTGGCAGTATCATTACGCACGGTTCGCTATTCCGCTCCCGAAATGCTATACAGAAATACCAATAAATATAACACTAAATGTGAAGTTTATAGGTATAAAAAAATTAGTTTACTGTTAAATTTATCTTTTTTCAATGCTTTTAACCTATCCTATGATTAAAAATTTATAATAATTAGCTTTGGTATTCTTTTATGGGAATTAGCCGAACAAAAAATTCCATATAAAAACCTTGATGACATTATGGAGATTAAAAACCGTGTATATAAGGAGAAATATAGAGAACCATTTACAAACTATTCTAATTTGCCGAAAGAATATAGGGAAATCACGATGAAGGGTTTGAGTTTTACTATTGTTTACTTATTTAAAATATAATGTTTATTTTCATATATATATATTCCTATATTACTGTATTATAGCTATTGGTGCAGATCCCGATTTTAGACCAACTATAACAGAAATGTTTAAAACACTTGAAAAACTTCAGGTTAAACTTCTTGCACTTAAACTTTCGACACCTATTATGAATATTCCTAGTGATGCTTCCAGTGTAACTAAGGATAAAGAAATTTCACGCATGCCGCTTACTCCTGATGATGATGATAATATTAAAATTTCGGAAGTTATTAGCTTTGCTGAATTTAATTATATGTCAATGAGAGAAGCCACATTAGTTCATCGTGTTAGTAACGGAAACTTAGAAATGGCTTTCAAATGTTTTAAGGCCTATGCACAAGCAGGTAAGTTATAAAATTATTCGTTTTCGTTTGTTCATATTCACATTTGCTTGTTAATTTTCTTAATCAATTGCAGGAAATTTAAAAGCAAAATACTTTCTTGCATATTACCTTTATAAGAAGCTAATAAATACTCCTTATTCTGACAAAGAGAGAGAGAAACGTGCTGCTGAACTATTTAAAGAGGTTGCTGATTCAGGTGATGAGGTTCCTGATGCCCAACTAAAATATGGATTATGTTTATTTCTGGGAACAGGCGTTGATAGAAATTTTTCTGAAGCTACGAAATATTTTCAAAAAGCTGCTGATAACGGACTTGCTGTTGGCATGTATAATGCTGGAAATATATTTTATACTGGCCTTACTGGTGTTAAAGAAGAATTGGGTATAAAATATATTAGAGAGGCTGCTCAACATAATCATTTGGAAGCTATGGAATTTTGTAAAAAGAATAATATTTCTATCTTTTAGATTTACATCTCTATCTTTTATTTGATTCATACTTATTTTTGCATTCTTTTAAAGAAATTTGTATTGAATTATCTTATTATTAGTACTTTTTTTATGATTTATCAGTATATAAATCAGTAATAAAACGAAAATTTTATATCTAAAACCAGGGACCCTCTCAAAACCGATATGTATAGTAGACAGGTTTTATATCAATTATAATATTTGAAACCATTATAAACTGTCAGATTTATATAACAGAAATGATCTGATTTTACAGGTTATCGATTTCGACAGGATCGGTTTTGGGCGGTTCAACAGCAATCAGTATTTCGTCCGAAACGTTTTGGCTTGAGTTTGGTATCACCCAAAATCAGAAACTAGCGAAACTTCTGTAATAGGCGAAATTTCCAAAATGGAAGAGAACAAGGCATGAAAATTGTGATTTAGTGTTGTTAGACAATATCGCACAATATTACATCGTTTATTTTATATCAATGTCACATATTTTTCATGTTCTCAATTAAAATGCTATTCGGCCTGATTATTTGACTATTATAAAAATAGAGCCGAACATGCTGATAACATAGTATACGAAATAAATTAATTTTTAGTAGTATATTAAAGTGCGAATACATTTTTAAGTATTTTTAAAATGCGAGTAAATTAAGTAACGAGTATGTTAAAGTGTAAAAAAGTTATTAAACCCCAAAACAAATGAAAAAGTTTTTGATATGGTCAAAAAAATTTTATTGTGTTATCGCATCTTGAATTCGCCTCTCAAAGAATACAGGGTGTTCAAAATAAAACATATATGATAATATCAACTTTCGGTACGCTTTTCTCTTGAACTAGTATAATAATTGATGTTTAATTTATTATTATTATTATTATTATTATTATAATATAAACCGTAAAAAAATTTCTCTGTTAAAATCAAAATTAATCAATATTTTCAGTTTTAGAAAAATTTAACACCAGACGTCAATGTTTTTTTAAAAAAAGGGGTTAAAAAAGGGTTTAAACCAATAAAAAAAAGTTTAAAAAACAGTTCAAACCGATTTTTTTTTCATTCCTAATTTTATCTACTACTCACATTATTATCAATGCATTATTTTCAACTCATTTCATTTATAAAAATTATGATAATTACTATTAAAAATAGGTTGAGGACTATAAATGTGAAATCACTGATTCATGTTTCTTTCACGGTATTATAAATTAGTTTAATAATACCCCGATCACTATATCAAGATCACGGGTATTATTATTACTAATCTACTGGCAATGCAGATTACTTTTAATAATTTAGATTAGAACAAAGTAGTTGTCTACTTGCAAATGGGAATTTAAAAATTTAGCGGCTGTTATTTAACTTTGATGGGTTGTTTAAACATTTATGATAATCTGCAAAAATTGTCAGGAAATTTTTCACTTTAAAACTTATTATAAAATGAATTTCATAAGAACGGCCTTTTAACTTACATTGAGC